CAGCTTTTTTGGTCAGGAAGAGATGAAAATCTTAAACCAAAAATGTCTTTCAACTTTAAATTTGGAGTTGTTGTCATAATGTATTCCCTTACAGAGCTGCCAAAGAGGTTTTTAAAAGCGCTATTTATGCATGTGCATTAAAAGCAGGAGCACACCATGGCTATATGAAATTAATTTTCTGGTTTTGAAGCTAGCAATTAAGGTTGGGACAAATGTTCCTGCTGGTTGTTCCTCCTGCAGTCACTCTTGTAAAACTAAAAGAAACCACGGACATGAAAGCTCTGTTGGTGTCATTACTGCTGGGCTGCTTTGCTTTGTGGAGCGTCAGCTCCTCTCTGGTTAGAGTGACATTGTGTAAGGCTCTTAAAATCCTGCTGAAATCCCTGAAGCCTGTGAGGGGATCCCTCATTAAAAATGCTGGAAGACAGTCTAAAGTGTCACTCGCTGTAGAGAATGAGCTTGTTGACAAGACCACATTAAACTCAGCACTTTTCGCAAGCACGGTTTGCAAACCCAGAGAGATGGAGCGTGACGTGTCCCTGCTTCCCTTCTTGTTCCTGTCTGGATGAAAAATGGAAAAACACTCTGGGTAAACTGTCTCGTGTTTTCAGAAAGAAAAAACTCTAAACTTAATCTAGACTTCATGTACAAGAGAGGAGGTTAAAAAAATCACAGCAAGGCTTGGTTTGTACATGTGTATTCTTGTGCAGCTCAAAGACAATGTAAGATCATCCTCAGGATGAAGTAGGAAGTACACAATCACTGCTAAGATAATGCAAATTGAAGGCATGCCACAGGAGGAGAAATTAAGACAATATTTCAGTGCAAATGTCCCTATAAAATACATTTTTCACCAGGAAAAGACGTGGATAGCCCTGTGCTTTGTGAGTGTCTGATGCATTGCAGTAGGAGCTACAAATATTCCCAGCACAGATAAAGGGGTATATTCTCCTCTGGATCAAACACAAATGTCTGTGAGAAGCATCACTACTGATGTGAGAACAGATGATGGCTGTGGAGCAGAGATCCCTCTGAGCACTGGCCCCTGCCTGGCATCACTGAAGGAATTTGGCCAGACCTGTTTGGTCATGAGTCAAAGTTGTGCACCCGAGTTCCAAACAACTGGAGCTATAAACAGTTTAAACTGATTTTCAGGGGAGTTCAAAGATGAATAATGCATCTCTTCAGGCTCGTAAGTGATCTTTTATTCACAGAAAATCAAAGCGATGTACAAATGCAGTTGCTGGCCTTGGGGAGGGGAGTCTGAGTGACTGCTTGTCATTCACAGCAGCTATCAGAGGTGATGTGACATCTGAAGGGAAGAGATGAGAGCTCCATGGCAATTTGTTAAATAAAAACCATCTCAGTGTCTTGCTAAATAGCTGATAATCAAAGGTGCAGAATTCTAATCTACTGTTCAGGGCTTCAGTAGCAAAAAGAGAAGCTCACAGGCTACAGCCTACAAAATTTTTTCTTCCTTACCTTTGTGAAAATTTGCTTGTATCCATGAAAATTCCCTGTGACAGAATTCCTTGTCCTGCTACTGTAAGTCTGTGCTGCTCAAGACACTCTGCAGGCATTACTGAGTGTTTTGTCCATCACTGCAGTCCATTCTGGTGTTTTGGTGGCTAGAGTTTTGTTTTAGCCACTAGATCCTGCACCATCCAGGTTTGTATGGTTCTGGGATCTGAACACAAGGTGGGATTCTAAACTTGACCCTTTTGGTTTCCAAAGGCAGGAGGTAGGAAAAGTTACATGTCTGCCTGAAAAGTTCCTGCCATAACTTAAAAAAATTTTCATTTAATTATAAGACTATTTCTGCTAACAAATCAAGGAGGAAGATAGTTTGCTCTTTAGCATTTGTGGCCTAAATAGACAGTTAACCAAAATTTGCATATTTCTTAACACTTTTAAATTTGTCTGAAAAGATGTAAATGCCTTTCCTTACTCTGTAACAGTAAATTTTTTATTCCTGTCATGAGAAAGAAACATTCCCCTGCCCTGCAGTGGGAAATGAATTTAAATCAGAAGGCAAACTAACAGATCAATAGTTAATCCTTCAGTGCATCTCCTGGTCTTGGTTCATCAGCAGTGACATGGAGTTGCTGTGTTTTGGGCAGCCAGGAAGGACTTTGGAGTGGAGCCCATCTGTGTCAATGCTGATGGAAAATCCCCAGAGCTGTGCACTCTGTTCCAGCCTCTTGCCTGCCCCTCCAGGGAGGGTATTTCCATGTGGAGTTAGTCAGAGCTGTTTGTGTTTTGCTGTGTTCCCAAGGCAATCAGCATCCTTATCACATCTGTTTGCCTACTGGGCAACCGAAGTGAACTTCACAAGGCTCAGCTCACCTTGTCCAGCAGGTAAAGGTAACTGAGAGAGAAAGGACAACAAAGTATCTTGTTGCGTCACTGGAGCAGGTGAGGGCAGAACTGGGAGGTTGTGTCTGGGCCACAGGCTGAGCTGAATGACCTGGCACAGGAACCATGTACTCTGATGACATGATGTGGAGTACTGGAGGAGGAAGATGTGATGACTGCTCTGTTGAGCATCATTTCTGATTGTTACTGCTGGGATGAAGCTGAGTCCCTCCCTACAGTGGCTAAGGTGGGTGGAGAAATGTTACCTGGATCTTGGGAGGTAGGACTGTGCAAGGCCAGCTTGCCCACATCTGCTCCTGCTCAAAACCCACCTCACTTTCTGACTGCCACTAAGAGAGAATTTAAAAGTGAATAGGCTGATCTGCATCCCCCATCAGAGATGTGAGGGGCCCAGCAGGGCGCAGACAAGCCTGCTGAGACCAAATATCAGCCATAACCCAACACCCAGGGCCTCACTGGAGAGTGCATTTACTTCCTTCTGCCTCACCTCTTCCCGATGCACTGGATCAGAGTGAAGGCATGAAGCTGTCAAATAAGACCAAATTCTAGTGTTTCATGTTGTAATGGGAAAACTTATGTGCTAAGTGTTAAATGTGTGCTGAGTTAAATAACTTCAAGGCTGGAGGAAGGAGAAGTGTCTGATGGTCAGAGCTGGCAGTTACAAGGCTTTTGAGTTCTGTTCCTCTTCCTGCCAGTGATTCACTGCATGGCTCCAGGCGAGACACGTAACCAAGCTGGAATATTTTCTTCCAGCTGCAAAAGAGCTGTAAGGCCACATACAGGGAGGGCCTCTGAGGTTTAAATACAGCCCTGATGGAGGTGGTTGGGATGTATGGGAATGGATGTGAAACCACAGCAGGAGAGACAGCAGCAAACTCCACTGTTCTTGTTGCATCTGAAGGTGGCTCATGTACCAGCAGAGAGCAAACTTTCCCTGCTAAGAGGGTTAAAGAGGCTGGAGAAAGCTCAGAGGGGTGCAAAGGTTGCTTTTATACAGGGGGAAGAAAAGGAGAAGCCAAGGTATTTCTGCCGGGTTGCGGCAGCCCCAGCAATAGAACCTGCTCAAAACCCTCTCTGGGTTTGGTGGGAAGGGCTCAGGTGCTGCAGAGCAGCTCTGCCACTGCCCCGACCGGCAAGGCCATGTGGTCAGGGTTGCTGCAGGGCGGCACCTGCTTGTCCAGGGCCCGAGGGAAGGGGCCCAGTCACCAGAGGCTCTGGCTGTTACGGAGCCTGAGGCTCAGGGGTCACCCAGGCGGGATGCTGGCACAGCCCCAGCACAGGGGAGGCTGTAGGGACACAGCGCTACCGTTCACGACCAGCTGTGCCCTGGACAGAGCATGGGCTGGAGGGGAGAGGAGAGCCCCCTTTGCTGCAGGGGTTTGGGGGTCCTGCGCGGTGCAGGGAGGGACTCCGGGGCTGTGGGCCGCAGGGCAGAGCATGGGAAGGGCCGGGAGGCAGGTGGGACCCGTGCGAGCCCCTTGGAGACCCGGGAGGACTCGAACCCGCGGGCCCAGGAAGGCCGAGCCCGCCCGCCAGGGGGCGCTCTCTCTCGGGGCGTTGCCGCGGGCGGGGGCCGCGAGCCTTCGGGGTGCCACGGCCCCGCCCTTAAAGAAGCCACGCCCCATGTGGCCCCGCCCCCCGGTCCCGCACGTACCGCCCCCTGGCGGCGGGGCGGGGCGGCGCCGGGATCGCTCCGGGCCGGCCGCACCGGGAGCCCCGGGTGAGAGCGCGGGGGGCGCCGGGACCCCGCCCGCCATCGCCGCAGCTCCCGAGCCGTGGGGCCCCGCGGGGCCGGACCGGCAGCGCCGCGCCGCTCTCACCCCAGGCCGCGGCCTGCTTGGCGCCGGGGGGCGCGGGCCGGGTCCCGCACCGCCCTGACGGTGGGCGCGGTGGCGGCTGCACCGGTGCCGGTGCGGAGGGCGCTGCCCGCGGGCAGGCGCGGCCCAGGGCTGCGGGTCCCGGCGGGCAGGCCGTGCTGCGGGGCCGCTTGGGGCAGAGCCTCCTCTCCGCGGGGCACGGGCAGCGGGGGGTGGACAGGGGCAGGGGCCGGGGGCTCCGCTCCGCTGCCCGTGGGGAGGGCGGGGGGCGGCCGGCAGTGCCGGTGGGGAGCGAGCCACGGGAACCGGGAAGAACGGCCCAAAATATCCCGCTCTCCTCTGGGGCGGCTGCCATCAGGGCCCTGGGGCTGGGCGTGGGGCCGGCGGCTCGGGGGAGCCACCGGGGCCGTGATTGGAGGTGCCGGGTCTGTGTCGGTTACAGGGAGGAGCCGGGGCGCTGCGGAGCGGTGTGTGTGTGTCCCCAGAGCAGTGTGTGTGTGTCCCCGGATCGGTGTGTGTCCCCCCGGATCGGTGTGTGTCCCCCTGGAGTGCTGTGTGTCCCCCCGGAGCGGCGTGTGTGTCCCCCGGGCAGTGTGTGTCCCCGGGAGCGGCTGTGTGTCCCCCGGAGCAGTGTGTGTCCCCGGAGCGGTGTGTCCCCGGGCAGTGTGTGTCCCCCGGGAGCGGCGTGTGTGTCCCCCCGGAGCGGTGTGTGTGTCCCCCCGGAGCGGTGTGTGTGTCCCCCCGGAGCGGCGTGTGTGTCCCCCCCCCGGGAGCGGCGTCTGTGTCCCCCCGGGAGCGCTCCGCTGCCAGGGCACCCGGGAGCAGCCCCGGTGCGGCTCAGGTGTCCCCGGGGATGGCCGGGCTGGGGCGGCTGCAGGACATCGTCCTCCTTCGCCGTCCTTTTCCCGTTTCCGTGTTTGTCGGTGTCCCGTGCGTTCAACTGCAGAGTTTTGGGAAGAAACCTTGGCCTGGGGGATCCTGCAGGAGCAGGTGCTCCTCGGGACACCCCTGCTCTGGGCAGCAGGTCCGAGGCCAGTGGGCGCCTCTCGGCTGCTCTACCGTGGCTGGTTTTGCTTTTGGTCTCGTGAATCTGAGAGGAAGCAATGATATTTATTTTTTCCTGCTGCAGCGCCGAAGATCCTGCACCCCTGTGGATGCCGTGAAGTGTTTCTGAGCTGAGCTGGTGTTTCAGGTGAGTGGGGTCACGGTGTGAGACTGTGCCAGGCCCAGGAGCGTGGCCGGTGCCAGGGCTTGGTTTTGCCATCCCCCTGCGTGCCCGGACCGAGCAGAGCGGAGCCGCCTGCGCTTCCTACCAGGATGTGGCTTTTCTCTTGCCATAAAGCTGAGCGAACAAGCAGCAGCCTCTGTGAACGACTCTTTGTGGACAAAGTGTGTTTATAAAACAGAGGTAAAGGTGAATTGTTTACTTCAGCGTTTGCTTCCAAACCTGTCTCCTGTGAAAGTCCCAGGGGAGTGTTGCAGCCAGTCCCTGTGGGCAGAGCTGTGTTTCAAGGGAGTATAAAACACAAACAACTCTCCTGAAATGGTTTGGGTTGCAACTCCCCAGAGTGGTTGCACTTGGTGGGTGAAAACAAGCAGGAGGCATTCACCAACCAGGCTGCTGTGTCCCACAGTCAGCACAAGAGAAAAGATGCCAAACAAAACAGGAAGCCTTTGTTGGGGTTATAAAAACTCTTCTAGTTTAAAAAAAGCCATCTAAAAGGAATACTGGTAATCCATTGCACCTGAGGGTGTTGGGGATGCTTTTTCTAGCTGGGTCTTCAGCTTTCTCTGAGCATCTCTGGGTACTTGGGTCTGGATACACAGCTTAGTTCTGAACTGGCGTGGTCCTCATTTGGATCACTGAAGGAAGGCCTGGTCTTTTAGGTTTACTGACAAAGATGCTTCCCTGGTCACAGCGTTGGTCCTGGTATCTAAATGATAAATTATTCTACTGTGATCCCCTGATCCTTAGCCCAGTGCTGTGTATCTGTTACCTGTTGGGTCATATGGGCTCCCAGGGTAGTTTTTGGTCTCTCCTGGATGCAAAATTGGACTTGAGCAGTTCTGAGGAGATGGGGATGGTGCCTCTCTGTCCTCCCTTCATAACCACCTTATTCCCAAGAGGCACTGAAGCAGTATAATTTGTACCTGGTGACCAATTGGAACAGGCTGATGCAATATGGGACTAATATACAGGAGGCTTCTGGGGGGTTTCCACTCCTTTCAAGCTTCACACATCAGAGGAATTAAACGAGAGTGCGTTTTGCTGCATATAAATAACTTCAGAAAGCAATTGCTTGCCCAAGTGCTGGCTTGACTGCCCTCCTTTTTCTCCTCTGCCCTTGCTGCCAGTGCATCAGGAACCGTGGCGCACCAGGTGTCCATCATGACCGACTGGGTGCTCCTGGGGCTGATCGCGGCGCTGGTCGTGCTGCTGCTGCTCACGGTCTTCGGCTTCGTCGTGTACTCGGGGCTCTTCACCGAGGTGGTCGTGAGCGCCGGCTCCCCCCCTGTCGGCACCATGACTCTGGCCTACAAGTTCAGGGTGGGCCCCTATGGAGAGTCCGGGCAGCTCTTCACTGAGGGCTGCAGCATCTCCTCGAAGCTCTGCTCCATCGGTGTCTACTACGACAACCCTCACACGGTAAGGAGTGCCCGGGGAGGCCACCGGCTCCCACAGTCAGCTCAGAGGTTCTTAGCGTGGGGTGCTCCCAGATTGCGTTTCAGACATGGGTTCACAAAGGTCTCCCAGGTCTGCAGAGGATGCTTTGTGAGGAAAGGCACCTGAAAGCAGATGGGTTTTTGGATAACCCTAACTGGAAGCCACTGGGCGAGCAAAGCTTGCTGTCTTCTGATAGCCTCTGCTGAATAAGTTCTCAGCAGGATAATGGAGCTGGTTGTGGAGCAGAGGGGAGTGTTTGTGACCCCAAGATGAGACATTCCTTGACAGATTCCTTGGCTGCTGGAAGTGCAGTCCTTTGGGACTTGCAGCTCTGTGGTTGAAAGCAAGTGGTCTCTTCAGATCAGTCTATTCTCATCCATACTCCTTCTCTTGTTTCTAGTGCTCTCATGTGTTTCTGAGCTTCCCTATAGTTCTTCCATCTCCTGGGAGTTGTTAGTGAAACCTCAGGTGCTGTGTGCTGAGGGCTCCTGTCTGATGAAACAGTTGCTCCATGATTCTCTCCGGGCTGAGAGGTGAGCAGAAAGCGTGCTGCCTGATGGCTGTCAGCCAGAACCAAGTACTCTGATGGGAACAATCCAAGACCGGGAGCAAACAGAAGGTCATCAGAACTCGCTGGGGGGTGAGGATGGGTGACACAGGGGTCTCCAAATTATGGCATGTGGGCATTTGTCTGGGGCAGACAGCCTGGCTCCCCAGTAATTCTGCAGTAGCTAGCGTGACCGTGGAGGAATCTGTGGGGAGGAGGGATAACAGTGGCCAGCAGCTGTGCATGTGTGCTTGGGCACGTGTGTTGGGTCTGGCACAGGGCACAGTGCTTGGGCTGATAGCTCTCACCCAGTGTTTCTGCTCTGGGAGTGGCTGGCCCTGTTTTAGGAACCCTGTTCCGTGGCTTTTAAGATGGTGCTCCCAAGTGTTGGACCTGCTTCGAGGAAACTTGTCCATGAAAATGTAGTGCTGAGAGAACTGTGACAGGAAGATATTGGAGGTGAGAAAGCCTGAGCTTGGCTGTGCTCAGCGGAGCCTGGTGTGCTCAGCCACCTTGTATCTTTGTATCCTGTGACGCGCTGACTTATCTTTGCCTTCCTGGATCATGGGAGGCAGAGAAGACACTATGGTGCCTCTTCCTGGCCTAGGAAGGATGATGGCAAAGAGGAGTCCTCCCCTAGGGATGAGCTGGGCCGAGGCACGGTTCGACTAGGCATGCTTAGACCATTTTCTCTGAAAGAAGTGTCATGTCTGGAGTGGGAGCCATGGGGAGTGCCTGGTACGAGAGTGCCCACGTGGTCAGAGTGGCCATTTCACCACCTCTGCTTTGTGTGCTTGTCCTTGAGTGAGGTCCTTGCCTGGAACTGAGAACCCTGGCGTTGCTGTTTGTTCCCCTGTGGTCTCTGGGGACGGAGCAGGGCAGTCAATGCTGTCAGAAGGGCTCAGTGTCCATTCCTGGTGCTGTTGTGCTCCAGGGACCTGATGTGGACACGCCTGTGGTTGCCCTGCAGACCTTCTGCTGGCACTGGGGCAAAGGCGTTGTGCCTTACCTCTTTGTTTGCCAGAGCCTGGGCCAGTGAAAGCCTGTACTGCTGAGACACCACAAATATCCTTATCCGTATCTGTGTAACGCTTGCCCTGGCTGGCACAGGGAATGCTTTACCTGGTAGCACCAGCTGAGGCTGGGAAGGAGCAGCTCCTACCTGACCGTGAAACTTTGGGCTGTCTGTGCAGGATCAAGCTGCCTTCCCTTTCTGGTCCTGTCTTTTTTCACCTCTTCCTGCATCTGTTGCATCTCTGCCCTCATCCCTGTCACTGGAGCAGGCAGTGGGGTTGTTGAACTTGTCTCGTGTGGCCATCCAGGGTTTTGAAAGCAGCTGTTTCTCCTTGTGGTGGGAGCCTAACCTGCCCTCTAAAGCTTGGCAAGCAGCCCCACGGACCTTGCCCTTCTCTGGATGGGCTGCCTTGCTCATGACATCAGGCAGGTGACATGGGCCTGAACCTCCTGCCTCTGTAGCCACTGTGGTGGCTGGGACACAGAGAGGACGTGCAGGATGTAACTGCAGTGCCTGTGGCTCTGCCTGGGGACAGGAGCCTCCTCTCACCTGCCATCCCTGAGCACAGAGTCACACCTGGGTGTGCTGGAGTACCTGTGGTGCTGGTGGGACCTTCCACGGGCTGATCTGTGGCTCCTGAATTGGTTCCCGCAGAGATTCGTGTCTCACCAACAGGCAGGTCAGGCCAGACAGGGTGCTGGGAGTGAGGATGTCTTTGGGCAGATGGCTGTCTTGCCTCTGGGCAGGTGAAGAAAGGGCCAGTTTTGGGTGGGTCACTTGGCTGGAGACTGCAGTGCTCATACCTGGCGTGCTGGCTCAGGTGCATGTATCCACTGAGTCATGGTGGCATGGGAGATGGTGTGCACTGCTGGCTTCTTATTCCTTGGAGGTTCAGCAGGCTGGGATCAGTCACCCAGACTGCCTTTCCCCTGGAAGGAAGATGTGACCTCCTCCTCTTCCTCCTCGTTCTCAGTGCTCTCCTGACCTCAGTGGAGCACCCTGTGGCAGGGCTGGCCCGCCCAGAGCTGGCGACCCGCCGCGGATGTTGACTTGTCTCCAAAAATAGGCCTTTTGTCATCAGGCAGAATGTGCTGCCTGTGTCCCACAGCGTCCCTGGCTGAGCGCCCATGGGCCCTGCCCAGACAGCCGCCCCCAGCCCAGCTTTTGGCTTCTTGGGGGTTTTGGTGCACCCAGCACAGTGGCAGGAAGGTGCTATGGGGCAATTGCTGTGCTGGTGGACTCATGGTCAAATAAAGCTCTGCCCAAGAGAGAGGATGGGAATGCTAGAGCTGGAGAGCAGTGTCCACCTGCTGGGAGTGGAGCTGGGGGCAGCCTATGGCCTGGAACGTGTGGGCTGCCTCAGGGTCATGCCAGGTCTCAGGGCAGCCACTGCCACCAGCATCCCTAGGTCTCCCTGCTGGCTCCTGGCTCTCCAACATTCACACACAAGGACGCTGCCTGAGTGCTGCCAAACCGCTGCCAGCAACGTTTTATGTGTTTTAATGGACAAGATTAATATTAATTTGGACTTCTTTTTTTCCTTTTTCCTTTTTATTTAATATTTAGCAGCCCAGAGGACTTCTCCCTCCTTCTCTCACCTCTGGCAGGAACAGAAATAACTCCTCAGCAAGGACTGATGTGGCGGGCGGGTTTGTGCTCAGCTCCAGCCAAGGCCCTGCTCATGTAGAGCTGTAGGCACGTGCCAGGGCCTTTTGCCTGCAGTCCATGTGCTCAGCGACCAGCCTGTGCCCAAGTGTTGGAGGGATGAGGCCAAAATGCTCTCTGAATGCAGGAATGGGTTTTGCTCCTGTCGGCAAAGCTGCCAGATAGGTTAACTAATCATTTCCAGAACTGTGTCAGGATGCTCGGGGGAACAAAGGCTTTGATCAGCACCTGCCTACCGGAAAGATTTGTTAGGGGAAGGCTGGTTTTAAGTGGAGTATTTCCTTCCTTCCCTTGAGATGGGCTTTGCCAGGCAGGGGAGAAGGCAAATCTGCCTTGCTGCTGCCCTTGGGAAAGTGCCTGTGGGGCTGCACAGTATGAAAAAGAAAGGTAAAAGGAGAAGGGAGGAAGCAAATGCGCCTGGTCCCAGTGGTGCTGCCTGCACCATCAGCTCCAGTCATGACAGTTTCTCTGGGGCTGGGATTGAACTGTCTTTGCTCAGGACATAAATGGAGATTGCATATTTAAAGGAATTTTACCTAGATTTCCCTTATCTCCTTGATTCATCTGGGCCTTTCCCCATGGATGCCTTTTACTGGTGCCTCTTACTGTCTTTGGGTTGGATCTACTTCTCTTTTGCTGCTGGGAGCATGGATGAGTGCTGGGCGCAGCCGTGTCTGCAGCTCCCTCTTGCAGCACAGGAGGGCAAGAGCGAGCCGTGAGGCGCATCCTCAGCCTCATGGATGCTGCTCCACAGGCTGCTTTCTTCCTTCCATTTACATCTGCTTGGGTTCCCCCTCCAGGATGGTCCTACGGTTCGACATCAAAAGGTGTTTAAGGGAAAGGCAGGGCAGGGAGTGCGGGGACAGTAGTTACAGTGCAGGAGGAGGCGTTGGTGAGCTTTAGCACAGTGAAGTTAGGGATGAGACTGGGAAGCACAGAGCAGAGTTGCCCTTGTGGGAGTGCATGGGGATGGGAAGTGGTAACACACTGGCTTTGTGTGCATCCTCTCTCTGCTTCACATTGTCCCTGCAAGAGCTCTGTGACAGCTTTGTGCCCGTAGATGGTATCAGGGGAAGTGGCTGAGTCCTCCTGCCCGTGTTCCTGCCCAGTGACGTGGGTCAGCTTGAACTCGAGTGGTGGGATTCTGTTAAAAACCAGAAATGAAAGTTGTGACCTGGGTCAGCTTTGGTGTGGAGATGGCCCAAGTCCTTTGGGCCATGACTGTGGTGGGAGCAGAGCCTTGAGCACCCCTGTTCCTGGGCTGGGAGCCCTGCACCCCTGGTCTTACTGGGAGGAATTCCCAAATTTGTAAAGAGAACATATTTTAGGTTCCACATGATGTTGGGGTCTAGGATAGAAGTGAATGTGTTTCTCTTCATGTTACTATGAACAGCTTGGTGGCTGCCTACAAGTCTTACCTGCCTCAGTTTTCCCACCCCTATCAGTGCCATACTGAGTGTGCCTGCTTAGGAGGGACCCAGCAGCCTCTGGATTTCTCTCCAGCTTAGTGCCAGTGGCCCGTGCTGGTTGGTGGCATGTCCAGGTGGCTGCCAGTGACCTCCTTGGGGATGGGGTGGAGGCAAGCTGGGCAAGTTGTGGTCACATCTCTCAGCCCCCTCCCCAAGTTTCAGGGTGTCCTGCAGATGGGGATGGTGGCGAGCACGTCTCGACAGTCGAGTCTCTGATGGGGAGTCGGGAGAGAACTTCCTGCAATGGCTGTCACTTGTGGTAGGTTTGGGTGAGCAGCTCGATGGGGTTTAGTTCTCTGCTGCAACTCCCTCTGCCCTCCAAGGAGGGATGCAGCACCTTCCCCACTGGGCTGTGCACTTAGCCTGGGAGGAATGCTGATGATTTAGGCCTGGATCAGCCTTGGTTGGGAGCAGACACCTGCTTTGGTGTGCTGGACCATTGCATTTGCCTTGGTTCATGGTAGTCTCCTTTCCCCATGCTCAGCAGGTTGAGGTTTTGGCCAGATTAAGCCTCTCCTTCCAACCCTGTCTGCCTTTCCCCTTCCATCAGGTGTCTCCGGAGAAGTGCCGCTTTGCCATAGGCCGAATCCTGAGCGAGGGAGACGCAAAGCCGTCGGAAGAGCAGATCAAACGGTTCCAGAAGTACGGCTTTAAGATCTTCACCTTCCCTGCTCCCAGCCACGTGGTCATGGCGACCTTCCCGTTCACCACACCGCTGTCCATCCATCTAGCAGTGAACCGTGTCCACCCAGCCCTTGACACTTACATCAAGGTAAGCGAGTGTGGCGTGAGGAGCGTTGCATGTGTTTGGTGGGCTGTCAGAGGCTTCTCTTCCTGACAGCTGATGTGGCTGCTCTGACATGCCATCTCTTGATGTCTTCCCTTGGGCACTACCATCAAGATCTCCTCCTTTTCCAATCTGGCAGGTAGTTCCCCAGTAGGGATGTCCTTCCATTCGCTCTGTAGGCGCAGGGGTATCTTTTCTGCTGTTTTGTGTTTACGACAAGCAAGTTCTCGTCTAATGACTTGCTGCTTTTCTCCTTAACACGGAGATAAAAGCTGATTTTCCCCTTGAGTCTCTTTCTTGTTGTTAGGATCTGGCAGGTTTGTGCCCTTCGGTGTAATGCTTTGTGCCATGGAACTTCTGTTTTGAGTGCCAGCCTCACCAGTGGGGCAGCTGTCTTCAGCAGGGACAGGAGGAGAAGTTAGAAACTTTCTGGCCTATGGACTTATGAAAAGTTTGTTTCAAGTAATACATTGAAATTTGTGACCCTTGGCCCTGGCTGGGCAGCTGGCTGCTGTGAGCTGTGTTTGCCCTTGCCCCTGAGTGGAGCAGGTGGCCATCCCCGCTGCTTCTGGTCTTTTTGAAGCCAGCTCTGGTGCCAGACCAGCTGTGGCAAGGGTGTTCCCAAGCAGCACATCTGACACAGACACCTCCAGATCCAGGCTTTCCAAAGAGCAAGGAAGGTCCTGCCCAGCTGGGTGATAGAGGGAAGGGACTGCCCTACCTGGTGTGGGAGGATGCTGTGGAGGGGCCTGCGCTCAGCCCTTGGCTTATCTGACTGTCGAGTTCTGACGCTTTCGTTTGTTCGTGTTGAAACACACTATTTATAAACTTGCTTTTCCTGGCGAAACTCCCAGCCTTGTGGGGGAACCGTGTGAATCCCTCCAGCCTGCGCTGTGCTGCAGGATGGCTGCCTGGGCGCCAACCCTGGAACTTCATCCGGGGGCTCTTTGCTGGACCCGCCTGTCCGCCCTGTCCGCCGGCAGCTGCCCGCTGGTACCGGCAGAAGATGAGTAGGTGAGACCACCCTCTCGTGCCCCCCGCGCTGGGGAGCGGGTGGAGAGCAGAACCAGTTCCCCATTCCCATCCTCTGTGTCTCCCCCTGGAGCTGTGCCGGCTGTTTTGCTGCGGGGGGTGTCGGGCACTGCTGCCAGCCCTGCGGATGCGCGGGCGGGCACGGAGGGGGCTGGCGGGGGTGGGAGCATCAGGTTGGCTGCGGGAGCGCTCGGCGACACCGGGCTGACGCTGCCTTTCTTGGGGAAAGGTCCCGGCAGCGCATCTGTCGCATGAGGGATGGAATTGTTAAGAGCTAAAAAGGGAACCACGGGTTGTTCTGGGAGCACCTGGCAGCGTTCAATGGGAGCGGCTGAGTTTGAGTTAAAATAACTGAAATGCTACGAGAACGCAGGACCCACGGCCGTGTGCAGAGGGAGGGGACACATTTTGATCTCTGCCCCAGTCCCAGCAGCACGTGAGCCAGGGTGTGTGCTTGTGTCTGTCCAAATGTCCTGCAGCAGAGCACGCCCCCCTGCCCATCTGGCACTGACTGGGGGGACACAGGCAGGGGGCTGATGGGGTTGCCATGCCGGGTAGAGCAGAGGGCACTGGGCTGCACCGTGGGGATGCCCTGCCCTTCTCCAGTGTGAAGTCAAGGCACGGAGGACTCTGGAGGCCGTTTGCAGCCATGCCAGGAGCATCCCTGCCACTTCTCCTGCATTACTGCTGCTTCTCCCTCAGGCTGGGCTGCCTGCACCCCTGGGGCTGTGCCGGCACTTCCCGGGGTGGAGGGATGGGGAGGGAAGGGGGAAACTTTCATGGAAACAGGTGACCTGTGCCCGCTTGGTGGTGGGAATGGGGGTTGCCATGGAGACAGCTTCTCCAAATAGCATCCTTCATCCCACCCCCAGAGCCCGGCTCCCTTAAGCAACCCGAGACAGCAGCGAGACAGATTTGCTTTATTTATTTATTTCGTGCTGTGCCTGCTTTGAGAAGGGCGCTGCTAATGAGAGCCGGGGGTCAGGCCTGCCTAGTGCGGGTCCCTCTGCTGTCCTCCCCTCCCGGCAACCCCAGGGAGAAAGAGGGTGGGATGGCAAAAGCCAGGAGGCATGAAAGGGGACTCAGTGGCAGAGATGAAACGCTGGCTCCCATGGAGAGAGAGGGAATTAGCTGAAGTGGAGGGAGGATGACATGGCTGCCTAGTCATAGAAAGGAGGTGTGAGAGAGCAGGGGATGGAGAAGAAACTGGAGGAGGGAGGGAGAGGGGTGGAATGTGAGGAGTGAGGGTGGAGAAAGCTTTGGAGATGCTGAAAAATTGGGAACAGGAACGAGAGGAGAAGGGGACTGGAGGGGAGATGTGTGGGGTGAAGGAGCTGAGGGTTTGGGGTCCAGCTGAGGGAACAGGACGGTGAGAGGTGGTGAGGAAGTTTGGGGCCAGAGCTGGAGGAAGCCCCACCACAGCTGGCTCTCCAGTGGCATTCCCACGGCATCCCCTGAGGTTAACTTAGGGACATCTAGTCCCAAAGGCTGGTGGACATGGAGCAGGAATGTGGCTTCCTCTGGACTCACTGGTGCTGAGCGGAAGTTACAGGGAATGCTTGTGTTTCCTGAGCAGTGAGGGTGCAGTGGTGGCGGCTTTCAGCAGGCTGGGCTTTGTGTTTCTGCTGCTGCTTCAGAGGGATAGGGAAAATTAAAAATAACATTTATAAAAATAATTAAAAACAAGAAATAGGGTGACAGAGTCTCCTTTCATTAGGGATGGAAGGGAGATGAGCTGGCATGGAGCAGGATGTATTGTCCATCTTCCCCCCACCTCCCCCCCCGGCTCTTGTGGGGCTTGGGAGCTGGCATTTCCATGTGCAGGCACAGCTGTCAGGATCTGTGGGGAAATGGCTGTAGCCATCCCTGGCAAGTAAGAGGACATCCTTCCCTTGGGATGGCAGGTTGGCAGCAGCTTGCTGGCTAGAATCGCCTTTGGGGAGACCCAGGAGAGCCTGCTGGCTTGTTACTCTGAGTGTGGGTTATTTAAGGCATAGACCGGGGTTATTGAGTGTCCCTTGAAAGCATTTCTTCCCTAATAACTCCTGCTGATGCCTCTCCCTGTCTCCAAGTAGGTATACCCTGCTTTCCTGGGGGGTACACTCCTGCCCCATGACACAGCTGCCTGTCAGACCTGGCAGTCTCAACTCCCAGGAGCAAACAAGAGCTCCAGTAAAGCTCTTCCCTGGTGGGGACCCTTTCTGACAGCTCTGGGAGCAGGATATTCCACTGTAACCTCCTGCCATTTCAAGAAGTGTTTATCCTGGTTTGGGTGTAATGAGCTCTCTGTGGTGGGCTGTGTGTGCCTGCATCTCTGCATCTGTGCTGGCATCCAGCAGGCACTGCCAGGAGGGTGGGCTGGGACCTGCCAGCCCCTGGACTCCTACGGCAGCCAGAGAGGTGGCTAAGGCAGGGCTGAGGTGTCTCCCACTGCAGCCCTACAAGAGCCTGCCTGGCTCAAGCTGGCCTCTTTCTGTGGGTTTTGGAGTCAGTTTTGTGCTTTCTTCCAGCCAAGGAGGATGTGGAGGTGGAGGGCTGCCAGTATCATCCTGACTGCTTTGCACCCTCCTATGAACCAGAGCACCATCTGACTGGCCTTAGACTCTGTCTAACTTGGAAAACTGTAGTTTCACCTCTTTAGATGGTCTTGTAAAGGTATACTCCAACTTCAGCAAAACTTCAGCTTTTTTCCTTCCCCTGGGCTCTGTATTCACACATTCCACACTTCCATGGGTTGTGAATAACTCCTTTGCAGGGCACATCTCGGGCAGCAGTGGCTGGTATGGGCTCTGTGATGCCAGGGAGGATCTGGGAGGCTCTCAGGTTGGCTCCTGCCTGACACAGGCTGTCATGTTCCTCCACACCTTGGCTCCCTGTAGAGGGAGCAGGGTGCTCCACAAGGTGCTAGAAAGACATGGCTTGCTCCTGTTCACAGCCAGGGAAACGTGTTAATCCTTTGACCAGTAGCTTGGAGCAAGCTTTGTTCCACTTGTCAGCTACGGCAGTTCAGGCTGCAGTCACCTCTCGCCTCTCTCTTTGCTGAGCTAAATATACAGAGCTTGTAAAGTCCTCCACTGCCGTATTTTCCAATGTTTTCCATATTTTCTGCTCTTAATTCTTGGGTTCTTTTTTGGGCTTTTTTTTTTTTTGTACCTGCTTTCACCTTAGAAAGTTCTGTGACTTGTCAGCAGTACAAATGGATCCTTTATTTCAGCAATAATCTTATTGCTGTGGCACACAAATCTCTGGTGGAGATCTTGTCCCCTGTCACAGGTTTGTTCTGAGCCAGCTGATAGCATCTTCAAGTGCATGCCTCTGTCCTTTGATGGAGTTGTAGTTTCTCAATTAAAAATGGGAAACGATGCCAGGTCCTACATCTTCTCTGAGCCTGACTGAATGGCATGGGTGCTGATTTGTTTATCAGTCAAGCCTGCCCTCCCCACAAAAATAAATCATGTTTACCAACAGGTTCTGACAGCTGTAAATGTGTGTTGGTTGGCATTAATTATGCTGGTTTCCTGTGCTTCCGAGTGATCTGGTCCAGTTGCAGCCATCCATTTATTTTGCCTTGGCTCAGTCTTTTCCTGGCCAGCCTGTGCTTGCCAGAGTCAGCTATTTACCCACTAAATGTTGGCAGGTACAGGTTGCAGTCTCTCCTGGGACTTCCCAGCATCTCCAGCTGGCCAGAGATCACCCTTTGACATGTGGAAGCTTGTCAGTGGGGAGTTCAGCATGTTGAAATGTGTGTTATCTGGGCCTGTGAGCCGTGTGTTATATCTTCCCACGGAAGAGCAAACATTTCACTGGCATCCTCTGCCCGTGTTTTCTGGCGTTGTCCTAAATTCAGGACAGAAATACTCCATGAAAACTCCTCCCTTCTCGCTGGTGCTGCTGTGGTTTCCCCTGCTGACACGTCCGGGATCTGTGCCATCCTTGAGACTCTCCTCCTCTAC